ACCCTCTCTCCTCTGGGACTTCCTCTCCCTCTGACTTCTCCAACACTAAATTAAGTGAGGCCCAAAACTGCCTTTTGCTATATATATATATATATATATATATATATATATTTTTTTTTTTTTAAGTCCCCAGTCCTGCCTGGGTGGGTTCCATAGTTTAGCTTTGCTTGACCTTTCAACCTTGGCTCCTACCTTCATTCCCAGCAATTTGTCCCTGTCCCACGGGCAATTGCAGCATGGTGCTGGACGCTCCTCTGAGTGATCTCTAGTGGAGCCTTCCTGGGATGGTTCTATCCTTCCTCTGTGTGCATGGAAGGCCCCTTCTGTCTGCTCCCTGCCCCTCGCCTAGGAACCTGTAAATGCTTTTCTAGTTTTGCTTCTGTTCAAATGTAGGCCCTCCTGCTGGGAGCTCCTTGGAGGTAAGGACTGTATTTTAGTCATCTCTATTTCTTCAGCAGAGAGGCTTGCACACAGTAGGTGCTCAGCAAAGTTTGCCCAATGAGGGCTGAATGTGGAAGAGCCTGTGCTGAGGTGGTGAGGCCTCCCGTGGCTTCATCAACCCTGAGCTGCACAGACCAGGGGACAGCAGGAAGGGTCTCTGCAGACACTTGCAGTTACATGCAAAAAACTAGAGAGAAGTCCCTTGGGTGCCTGGGGACACACCGTTGGTGTCTTTCAATGGATAAGTTTTAAGTCTTGAGTCATACGAATCTTATTTCTCAGGGTTTCCCCCCAAGATTATAAACACTTAGCTATGATCCTTGGTCCAAACGAGAATTCCAATTTGTAATCTAGTGGCTTGGAATTGGGGTCTTTCTTTATTGCTGTTATTTTTTTAATCAATTTTTGATGCTTTCAGTTAGATGACTCTCAAAATATCAACAAAATCTTTCCTTGGTGATGTCAAAAGCTTCTCCAAGAGGCCTGCCAGCCCTCCCTCTTTCCCCGTGACACTCCATTCCCCTGCTCAGGGACTGTCACTTTCTCATAAGTTCTCTCCCCCAGGGCCCAGGAAGAGACGCGAGTGACGGAGATGCTCAGTCAGTGCTGGGCACACAGGTCACTTAATCAGACTCACAGGCAGTGCGGAGATATATTGAAAGGGCGAGTGGCCATGTTGTTTAGGTGCTATATCTGCTGGAAATTCCGTGTTCTAAGGCAGCTCAAGCTGGACTGGGAGAATGTTCTGTGCGGTTCATGGGAGGGAGCCTCTGGGAGGGGAGGGAGCCCTGTTGGAGGAGGCGGTGGAAAGACAGCGAGTCCTCGAGGCGACTGTCTCCTGGCACTGCTGGGCACAGTGCAGGGCCGGGGTGGTTCCTGCCCTGAGTGACTCCCCAGCCTGGGCGCACAGAACTGCCACAGTCGGTGGGCTGGAGGGCGAGTTCAGATAAACTTCAAGAGAACACCTTATTTTTTAATTTAAGTTCTAGCACTTTAAAAGCAACTCTAGTGAGGTTGAATCATGGGGTGGGTCTTTCTTTTCTGAAAGAAGAAAGACATTTCAATTTTATATTTGGTGGTTGAAAGGCCTGGGTCTTTTCGGCTAGCAGGGAGCATGGCTGCAGGGGACAGTTAGTTTTTCACTGTGGAGAGTGTGACATGAAGATGTAACACTGTAACTTTAAAAAAGCAAATTTTTTCTGTTGTTGGTTTTCTGTCTTCACAAAAACTCTTAGAGCTTTGCTGCATTTAGAAAGAAGAAGTAAAAATATCCGGCATCTTATTCACCATGGCCACAGAAGTGGAGACCTTGCTCTATGGACTGGGTGCTTCATCGTGTGCGAAGGCTAACAAAAAATAGACCAGACAACAGAAAAGTAAACTGAGCAAACATTGCCCCTCGGGGGACAGGCTCGGCCTAGAGGGGCACAGAGTGAAAGTTTGCCAGTTTATTGAAAGATGTGAGCTCTGCTTGTGGCCTGAGAGTGAAGGGAGGTGCCGTCTAGGCCCGGGGGCTGGGTGTCCACCTCCCTGCTCCTTCCCAGGACAGGATTGTCCTCCGCCGCGCCTCCACCCCTCAGCCATTTAGTGAAGACCTGCTGGCTGAATGAATTTTCAGCCGTTTGGATTATGTTTGTGTTAATCGTCTGAAGATGTCACCAGCCACCGTCGGTGTGAGCACGGCAGTGAAGGCATCATCCTTCAGAAAGGTTGATCCAGACGTGGGAGGTGTTGAGTGAGGCCTCACCTACTGCCGACCTGCAGCGGGGCTGTGGTCCAGCAAGACGGGACCCAGGACGGGACCCAGGATGGGACCCAGGACAGAGTCCCACAGGACAATCGGGCTGGCCCTCAGATGGCCCCCTCTGGGGGGCATTGCCTGCGTGGCCTCAGCTGGCCAGCTCTCCAGCCGGGTCTCCCGGGGCCTCAGCGCCCTGGCTCCTGACACGTGAGAGCAGCAGCAGGCCGTTGAGGGTGCAGCGAGAGTGAGCGGCTACCCGGAGCAGCACACCGTCAGCTCGGTGGCCCAACGATGCAGTGGAGGGCACGGTGCCTTTCTCTCCCTTGTTCAGTCTTTCTTCTTCTGCGTCTTTGTTCTTCTCAGATGGAGTCTCTGCCGCTGTCCCAGTCGATCAGTCCCCTGGTGTAGATGGTCCACTGTGTGCACAGGAACTCGCAGTGGTCAGCCCGGCACCGCCCTCCGCACGCGCTCCACGGCATCCACAGCACTCTGCTGTCCCTCAGCTCTGGGTCTGCTCGGCCCGGGGCCTGGGGCTCCCCAAGGGCATCCGCTCACCCAGGCTGGCTGGCCCTCCTCACTCCCGCCTGGCCCTCCTCACTCCTCTCCGGCTCTGAGTCTGCGTTCCTTTCCAACAGCGCTGCTCCACGAAGCTCGCTGCTCCCCGTCCTGTGTCCTCAGTATCCTGTGTCCATCCTGGGAGGCTGCACAGGGGGCAGAAGGAGCATCAGCTCGGGTGGTGGCAGGAGGAGAGAGATCTGGCTGGTTCCTCCCCCCACCCACCTGTTCTGTGTGCCGGTGACAAGGGGGGACAGTGACAGGACTGGAAGATTTCTGGTTCCCAGATATGTCCTAATATCCCCTGGACGACCTGTGCCCCCAGGCTGGGCTGTGGCCTGACTTCTATGTGGTGACAAACGGCTGGCAGTCGCTGGCACACACCCCACCGCCCTCTTCTACAAGGGTCCTCTGCCGTCCTCGGCCTGCTGGCTCCAAGCCTCCTGGTCCTCCTGGTCCTCAGACGGGCCAGGGCCTGTCTCCCCCACAGCCTTGGCTGGTGGCCTCCCTGGGTCCTGCTGGGCTGGGTGGCTCCTGTCCTCTCGTTAACCAGGACGCACTGTCACTGGGCCCCTGGCTGTGCAGGGTCTGTTTAGGGTCTCTCTCTACTGGGGTCAGGTCTGTGGCAGCAGAACACACACCCTTCACTTGTGTGTCCCCTGTGTCCCAAGGTGTGCCAAGCAGCACCAGCCAAGGTTATCTGAGGCGCTCTCCGCTGGCCTGGTGGGTGCGCGGTGGGCATGGAGGCAGAGCTGGCCTTCCTCTTCCCTCACAGGCCTGCCTCGCAGGGGCAGATCACCGCGCCTCTGCAGTGTGCCCTCTGATGGCAGGTGACTCTTTCCAGCTTATGTTCTTGGTAGCTTCTGTGTTGTGACGGCGCCACGTGCCTGGGGCACGAGGCCCGGCTCCTCCAGAGCACCTTCACATGGTGGACCTTCACAACAGGAGACCACGCCTACGGGTGCCTGGAACACGTCGGCCAGGCAGCGGGCTTCTCACAGGGGGATCCTGAGGCCCGAATCACCGCCTCCCTGAGAAGGCCACAGCCCCCAGCTCCTGACGGGCCAGCGCCTCCCTCCCGGGCCTGGGCTTCCTTCTGGAGAGGCTGCTTGCCCTTGGGAAATTCAGTCCTGCTTCTCAACAAACCGACATTTCATTTTCTTGGACAGAGAATGAAGAGCAGGACTTTGTTCGAGTTTATTTTCCTCTTTCCCCTTTGTTTCTAAAAATGAATATTAAATATGCAGTTTAAATTGTTTTTAAAATTTGCAGTTTTGAGCAACGTGTATTCAAGACTGAATGGTGCTATTGGGTGGGGAGAGAAGTCGGGTTCAGGAACCATCCGGAAGGTTTGGGATGTGGTGGTTGCCTGCTCATCTGCCCCTGCCCTTCCACATGAATCTGCAAGCTCTAGAATTCCGCTCTAGAATCAGTGTCAGTTCAGGTGTTGGTGTCATTACTCTGGTAAACATCACAGCCTCAGACTGAAATGTCGGCATCGGCTTCTTTGGGTATTTAGGAGAATCATCAATTCATATTGAGCATTTTGTAGAAAATCACCTATTTTAATTAAAAATTCTCAAATGTTACTTTGTCCTGAAAATTGCTGAACCTGTTCTTCCAGTAACAGTCGTTCAAACAAAATAGTTCAAATGAAAGTGATGTAATTGGAAGTTTAAGAAAAGATTGCTAACTTAGAAAAGTGTGTTTTAAATATATGAACTAGAGACAAACGCTGAGGGTATTATGTATTTTATTCTGAAAGGGCTATAAGATTTTAAAAGAAAGTGTTTCAGTTTCATTTCATAATTAATATCTTTCTAGTATCTACGGAACACCGGCTTCCCCTTGCTGAGGACAGCCCCTGGGGTCCTGTGTTCTAATGGTCATCTCTGGTGTGTGGTCCGCTTCTTGCCCCTTCTTAAGCCTCAGCAGGGGAAGAGAACGTGACCTGATCCTGTGACTATGGTTAGATACCAACAAGGACCCATTTTCTGCTGTCACTTACAGAAATTAAGAGGCGGGTTTTTCTGGGGAGCTGGGGTCTGGTGGAGGGGAGTGCAGGAGGAGCTGGGGGGCTGGAGCCCCGGGTCACGTTTCAGTCCCAGGAGGCTGGTGTCTGAAGGCATCAGGAAGCCAGGCGGACTCCCGATGAAAGATGATGAAGAGGAGCCCTAAACAGGGCTTCCTGTTTGCTCAAACCCCCACCCAGGAGAAAATCGCTCCCAGGCCCGCACTCTCTGCTTATGTATTCTCTTTTCAGATTGTCACCAGACGGCTCAGTTTGCTCCTGGCATCTCAGTCACAGCTGAAAAGGAGAAAGTCAGAGAACGCAGTGGACCCTCAAAAGGACTCTGAGAGGGGACAGACCTCGGGAGCTGACCTCTGCTGCTCCACCCTCTCTCTAGAAAGCGTGCTACCCCCTGCATCCTGTGCTCTGTCCTCGCTCTGGGGACAGGTTTGTCTGGGTGGCTGTGAGGAATCTAAAAGGAAACGTGGCTCTGTCCCTGGACTCCTGCTTCCCAGGTGGGTGGCCAGAGGGCACGGAGGTGCAAACGTGGCTCGCAAGGGCAGCCGCTCCGAGGGAGGGTACGTGTCTCCTCCAAGTGAGCACTCGCCGTGTCTTATGGGTGTTTTAGATATTAAGGAGCAGACGGAGGAGGAAGAAGGACAGGAAGGTCTTCACACATCCCTAGGAATCTCCAAACCGCGCTGGGCCAGCCGTTAAAACACAAGCAGAACACGAAAGAGTTCCCAGCTTTTATGCAAGAAAAGGTTGATTTACAGAGTTGGGTGAAATGGCACCAAACTATTGGGTTATTACTGCTTTTTTCTTCTATTCCTTATATTACAGACCTTAGGACATGTGATTAAAAAATGTTTAAAAAGGAAAATAGTAATGCTTGACACCCAGAATAATTGATTTTTAGAACTGATAGGTGGAATTATGAGAAATGAGAGACTTAAATTATTAAAATAAGTGTAAATTCTGTGATCGATGCAAATAATTTCAACACTATCAGTGCCGAAGGCTCATCTGCGTGGAACCTTCCCTGACCTCTGCTCCCCTGTGTCCTTAGCCATGTCTGGGAATGGGCCGGGGACATGGGAGGATGCCATTCACAGAGTGAGAGACTGGGTAAAGCCATCCCCCAGAGTGACTCCAGGCCCCTGGTTGGACTTCCCTCTGAAGCACCTGCTCCTTCCTCCTTGCTCTGCACAGTCTCCTGCCTTCCTTTCTTTTCCCTCTCTCATTCCCACCTCTGTTCCCCCCTTGGTTTTTAACCCTTCCTTCACTTTCTCATAACTCACCCCTGGGTCTGTGGATCGTCTTGTCGGGTGACGCACTGAAAACCTCTGCTGCTGCTGTTCTCAGAATCTAAGGCGTGGGACTCGGAAGGTCCCCGATTCACAGTCTGATGCAGATATGAACAGGTGAGATGCAGGAACTCGGTCTGAGTAAATGTCACTGAACTGTGACACAACTCTTCTCCACGGAAGAAGAAAAAAGGGTATGAAGGAATGACATTGATTGTACACACACTCATGCATGCATGTGTGGACACACACACACACACACACACACACACACACACCTGTTTTTCCCTTAGTGAGGACCCCATGTTTAGTCATGTTGGAAAGAAGCCCAGCACACCTCAGTTCTTTTCCATCAATTTGGGTCGACCTACAGTGGCAGAATGTTCTGAAGTCTTAGCTACTGAGAGGTTCATGTGTTCTCTCAAGAAGTCTCTGAATTGGGGATGAGTATCTAGAATATAGAAAGAACTGAAAAATCAAACAACCCAATCATTAAATGGGAGTATAAATTCCTCAAAACAAGAAATACAAATGAGCAACAAATATATGAAAAGGTGTTTACCATAATTAGCAATTAGGGAAAAGCAATTCAAAACCGTGCTGAGATTTCATCTCACACCAGTCAGAATGGCAGTCATTAAGAAAAGAAAAATGCTGGAGAGGACGTGGAGACAAAGGAGCACTGTCACACTGCTGGTGGGACTGTCAGTCCATACAGCCACCATGGAAATCCGCATGGGGTTCCTCAGAAGTCTAGGCATAGAACCACCATGGACCCAGCTGTCCTGCTCCTCAGTATTTATCCTGAAGAGTCGAAGTCTCAGTGATTCGTCACACCCCTGTTTACAGCAGCTCAATGCACAAGGGCCCACCATGGGGCAAGCCTAGGTGTCCACCAGTGGATGAATCCATTAAGAAAGTGTGGCCTATATACACAGTGGAGTTTTACTCAGTCAAAAAGAATTAAACATCATTTGCATGGAAAATGGATGGAACTTGAGAACATTATGTTAAGCTAAATAAAACCCAAATTCAGAAGTTCTTTTTTTTTTGTACCAGGGATTGAACCCAGGGGTGCTTAACCACTGAGCACATCCCTAGCCCTTTTTAATTTTGTATTTTGACAGAGTCTCACCAAGTTGCTGAGACTGGCCTTGAACTTGAGATCCTCCTGCCGTAGCTCCTGAGTTGCTGGGGTTCAGGTGTGTGTCACTGTGTCTAGCAGGTCATATGTTTTCCCTCCTGTGTGGACGCTAGAGAGGAAAAAGGAAAAGAAAGCTGGGGATCTCATGAAAATGGAAGGGAGATCTGAGAAGGAACCAGGGAGTGGGGGGGGGGGGGGAAGTGATGGGAAGGGAGGTTGGCCAGGTGATGTTGTTCTATTGTGTCATATACACATGTGTGACAACAAATCTTACTATATGCACAACTATAATTCACCCATAAAAATGTTACCAATCCCTGAAAACAACAATGACAAAGAAGTCTCTGTATTGGGCAGGAAAGTAGCTCCGTGGTCATGGTGGAACTCCTGCCCAGCAGGCACAGGCTCTGGACTCAATCCTTACTACTGGGAAAAAACAAAAACAGAGCTCTCTGCGGAACACAGCACTGTCTTTACAGTTTGGAGTGTTGGTGGGACCGGGTCATGATCAATTAGGCCCTTGAACTGGATGCTCTGAGGGGCTCCCTGTCCTTTAAAATGCTCAGACTCGTTATCTTCAAAAAGAAGCAGGATCAGGAGGAAGCCAGGCCCCAAGTGCAGAGTAACAATTCCACCTGGAATCAAGCTCCGTGTGGCTGTAGGTGCACTTCAAGAGAGGGATTTGCCTTGAACAGACAGAGAAAATTCATACTGCTCTCTTTATCCCCTTAGTGCTCCCAAAGCCTTGTTGGACCGCTGATTACAGAACAACTTGGCATGCGTCAGTTGAGGTCCATCATCTCAAATCGTGAAAACACTTAGACTCAGGATCCAGAATGAAACTGTCTGGCGGAGTGAGCGTCAGCACCTGACCCTCACCGTCAGCTCAAGGATGTGGTCAGTGTGGAATCCTGTGACCATCGATCTCCCTTCTGGCCATCTGAGTAGTTTACCTAGTGAGGTTAAGAAAAGCACAAGGATGTTTTTTTGATCAGACAGTCAGCAGCACCTACTGCAGGTTCATTAGGGGACATGTGTCCAACCTACCTCTGCCATCTCCCTGGGCTGCTTAGGAGACAAGGAAGGAGGGGTATCGCATCCTTAGAACATAGCTAAGCTTTCGGCTAGTTTCTGTGTACTGGAGTCCACGTATACCTTTACTTAAAAAAATTGTGCTGCTGAAATTATTTAAAAATTCACCATGGTGAATGAAAGTTTGATACTATGGCAAATGTTCATTCATATAAGCTGAGACAAGAAGACTATAAAACCAGAAGATAGAATGAAACGAGTTCTGTAAACCCATGACAAGCAAAGCAAACCAAGGCAAGAATCCCCAGAAAGGCAAAAGCGCTATCTATGGTCTGTGTGTGTGCACATGTGTGCCCTAACCCTACCTTCCCCCAAAATCCAGCCCAAATGTGAACTATTTGCTCTGCTCTGTCTGGCTCAGTGCATAAAGGCTACAGGAAGAGAGTGTACTTATTGCTCAAGATAATGATAATTTATATTAAAAACTAAATGCAGGCATGTGAGCAGGAAGGGGAAATTGCGTCATTAATTACCTGGTTATCTTATCGGGCTGGAGTTCTGGGTTTTCTGGAATGCAGAGCGGCTGCAGGAGCCTTGCTGAGGGCTCAGGAGGCAGCCAGTGCAGTGGGGCTGCAGCCCCTTGGCTCTGCATTCTGCCGGGAGCAGCCCCGCCCCAGGCCCTGCGCACACCCTCTGTCCAGAGCCTGGTTCCAAACTTCCTCAGGGAGGCCGACTCCTGAGATCTGGAGGGGACCTAGGAAGAGGTGCTGCTGGTTGCAGTGGTTTCCCTCTGGGGAAGAATGGACAGTTCCAGAGCCCTTCGTCCAGCCCACCAGGCTGCTCAGTGCCCCTTGCCGGCCAGACTCTCTTGTCTTGTCCTTTGCAGAAATAAGCTATAGAAGTATGTAATTCTGGTGAAATATGACTTTATGTTGGAAAAGGAAAGCAAATAACAAGAACACAAGGTGCGGTGTGTGCAACCATGCATTCCATATCGAAAATATTTTTATTCCTTTCAACTAGGACAAAATAAATTCATTGTATGGAAAATGTTTATTTTTCTAATTTAAGTGCAGATTCGGATCTTAATTCTGTTATTATTTTGTTTTTCCTGGAATGTCTATGCTCAGAACCCAATTTCTGTTTCTTGATCTTCTAAAGACAAGCACATGTGTGGCAAATGTGTCTACATGACTTGTTACAGGGATTCACACCTATGCCTTCATTTCATCACATGAAACCCTGTGGCACAGGTTGGGCACAGGAGGAGCGTAGAGAGTCAAATGAGCGGAAACAGGCTAGGCCACTTGACCACCAACAACACCGCTGTAGGTGGCCTGGCTCCTGACCTGGTGGCCTGAGGCTGAGCGGGCCGGCTCCTGCTTCCCCCACCCTGTATCTCAGCCCCTGTGTGGCCACCTGCATTCTTCTCCCCTCTCCCAGTAGTGTCATGTTTGGTGGCAACTGAGGAACCTCTTTTTATAAACCGTGAGGGGTTCCTTCTTTTCCCAGCCCCTTCTTCAGACACCAAGTAGAGGCCCAGGCGCCAAAGCAGACCCCCGGCTTCAGGCCAGCGCTCTTTCTGCTCCACTAATTGACATCATTGTCACCAAGAGAAACAGACGTTCTGTCTTAAAACACAACTAATCATAGCTGCTTCCGACCCCAAGGGAGGGGAGCGCTTCCTGCTGGAGGTGAGACCTTACATTAGACAACTTCCTGTTGTCTCCTTGGGTGACAGGTCAGGCACTCTCCCTCCCCGGTGTGTGGTGGTGCTGGGAGGTCTGGGCAGCGAGACCCGAGGCAGAGGGGCACTAGGGAATCACCACCCGAGAGGCCATGGGTTGGGCGAGAGGAAGTGTCATAACCGCTATGAATTTGAAGGCCACCACGCCACCGGTGCTGAGTGTCTCCAGGGGCTGCACAGGAAGTGAAGAGAGGGACCGCTGCTACCTCTTCTCTGCATCAGAGGAGTGGAACACAGGTGGCTGGAGGTGAAAGTCCAGATCTCAGCAGCTACAAGAAAACTGGTGTAGGCCATGTAGCATAGGCCACATGGACCTGCACAGAATTTACTAAAGGCAGCATCTTTCTGATAGGATGTGCATTTGCCAACATGATGGGAACACCAAAGTTTATGGCCACATCAGTTGACTTTTTCCTTACAAGAAGAGAGGCAAGAAACGATTCCTGATTACTCTTGCAGAACCTGAGCAGAGGCCATGGCCAATCGATGATCTGTTCATCAGTTTTCTATCACCGTGACCGAATGCCTGGGGGAAATCAACTTAAAAGAGGAAGGGATTATTTGGGCTCATGATGTCAGAGCTTTCAATCCTAGATTGCGTGGCCCTGTTGTTGCTTTGACCTGGTGGCAGGGCAGCATATCATGTCAGAGCATGGTCCCAGAAGGCTGCTCACCTCTCGGTGCCCAAGAAGGAGAGACAGAGGAAGAGAGAGGAGGCAGAGGAGCCAGGGTCCTAACATCCCCTTTAATGGCATGCCCCCCAGGACCTAACTTCCTCCCGCTAAGCCACACCTCCTAAAGGCTGCGTTACCTCCCAACAGCACCAGAGGTTGGCCACAGGTCTTCAGCACACAGGCCACTGGGGGCCCCTTAAGATCCAAACCATAACGGTATCCTCAAAGGCTGATGGATTTAGGGACTTTAGAAATGGGAACTTTAAGTGTCTGCCGTTTCAGCCCCAGGACCCCTTCCTCCTTCTCACTGCTTTTGCAATAAGGGAAACTGAGACCTGGAGATACTGTCTGATGCAGCCAAGGTCAAACAGCTGGGAGTGGACACAGGCACAGGGTTAGGGTTTGGCTGGGCTCGGAGCCCACAGTCACGGGTGCTAGCCCCTGATGTATTTCCTCATTCTGTTCACCTTCTCGAACCTCAGTTCTCTCCTGTAAAGTGGGGAAAGTAAAACCACATCTCCCAGAGATATTTAAGGATCAGATGAGTTCATGTGGGTTTGAAACCATAAAGGAACGTTAACACCTTTTATTGGTATTCTTAAAGAAGGCTATGTTGGTGCCAGCAATTGGGTTATTTTGGCTTTTTTGAACAATTCACAGAGCTGTAGCAGTGGCATAATTGAGGTGACTTTGCTGTTGGGTGTGGGCAGCCACAGGTATGGACCAGCAGGGACAAGCAGGCTTCTCAGATGGGGTCCGCTGTGTTCTTGGCAGACTTCTAAATAATACATTGGTTTACTTATTTTTTTCCCTGCAGGAATTAAAATAAGATACAACATTTCTCACTTTTTCTCATGGAAGCCAGGATACATCTAAGTAAATCAAGAAATTCAAACACGTCATCTGTTTTGGCTGGAAGCAAACTCCTGTTATGCTTTCCTGTGCCTCTGACGATCACTTTGCAGGCACTCCTGGTAGGCAGGCTGAGGAAGGCAGGTCCCTGGGTGCTCCCCGGTGGTGTGGGGCCTGGCCCAGCCCTGTTTCCTCCCTCTTCCCTTGTCACTGTAGCTGAAGGGGACCCAGGAGAGCTGATCCTGGGGTAGAGGGAGGAGAAAGCGGGGGTGTGAGTCAGCCCGGCCCCTTCCTACGAGAAAAGGTATCAGGTCATTTTTACCTTTCTAAGCATTTTTTCAGGCCTGTCATATCAAGGCTCCCCCCTCCCTCCCAGCCTCTGTCACATCTTGGCTATTATGGCACCTTTCCAGTGTGGTAAGTTCTTAAAACATGAAACGTTTCATCAACGGATGCAGAAACACACAAAGCTGCGCTTGTTAATGGGGGTTCCGCGTGATGTTCTGATGGACGACTACCTTGTGTAATCGGGAACCTTATCTGGCTCCTCAAAGTCTGTCTTGTCTTGCATATTATGAGATGGAAAACACATGATCTCTATCTACAGTGACCCTCTGTGCAATCTATAGTCACCCCCTTGTGCAACCCTGCTGTGCTATTTATAGTCACCCTACTGCTCATACCTAGCTGGAACTCGGGGCTCCCTGATCAACCCTCTTAGTACTTTCGTAACCCTAACCCTAACCCTAGCCCTAACTAGAGGAGTTATTTATAATGGTCAGGCTTCGAATTTCATCTTAAGTTGGGTTTTCCATTTTCAAGCTTTTATAGCTTCCAATCTTTCTAAGCCTGCATATTTTAATGAAAGGAAATTTCTTCTGTGAGAATGACATTCTCCAGACACATCCAGCTCCAGGGCCCGAAGAGAATGCAGTCTGTTTTACACCTTGGAGCCCTGAGCACCCCCAGGGTCCAGGAGTGGTGGGGAGATGGACTTTTTGACTCTCATGGACAAGAAGCTGCCCAGGCTGAGGAGGGGGCAGGTGCTGGAGGCAGGTGCCCATCAGTGGCTCCCAGGGGTCAGTGTGGCATGAAGCTGGACACTGCTGGACAGTCTGGTCATTAGTTTGGAACAGCTGAAGGACAGATGACTAGTCCTTACAACTCTGCTGGATTCCAGGGGGTGAGAGACCCCAGATCTCCCAGGCAGCTGGTCAACCCTTTCCTTCCTCATCTCTCCGAAGCTTAGAAAGAAAAGAAACACAATCAAAACAATTTCAAAGCACCGTGAGAAAGAGAAAGTTCAGGTGGTACAGTTTCAGAATGTAGTACCAGGCCTTAATTGGTATGTAGATTCCAATCATTGCCATCTTAACTCCCGCCCTTCCCTCTGCCCACCCCACTTTGAAATTAGCAGGTTTGTGCAGATTGTAACTCGGGAGCTCCTCCTGTCGAGGTGGGGCAGCGCTGCATTAGGGATCCCAGCCGGTGACGGCCTGCCCAGGTGTGCTTGCTCGCAGGGTTGGCAGCAGGCCCTTCCGCAGAGGTCACGCTGGCCTTGCTGAGCTGCTCTGAGCACGTTTTGATTCCTGTGGCACCTGGTGTTTCTAACTGTGCCTGGGTTGGTTCTTCTGTTTTCATTTCCTTTTACAACAGAGCTTTCCAGCTCCTGAGGGAACCAGGCACAGAGGCGGAGAGGTGAAGCCCCCGCAGGGACCCCTCTGGGCGTGAAGAGCCCCAGCACGGGGCCCCTCTGGGTGCGAAGAGCAGCAGGGAGTCCATCTCCACTCGCTGACTCCATCTTCCCAGTAAGGGAATAACACCAAGATGGGAGGGAGTCGCAGACTTGCTGCAGGGTGAAGGGCGGCTCGGCAGGGGCACTGCCGTGGGTCCCACGAGGAGGGTGGGCTGGAGGCAGCACCGGGCCTCAGACGGGCCACTTCCTCCTTCCTGCTTAGCTGGGCCCTGCAGACCTGCAGTGACACCCCAAGGACCTGGGATCAAATGACAGCTCTGCTGAAGGGTTAAGAGCAACTCTATCCTCTTGGCCCAGGCTTTGGAATTTTCATTAAAATGACCCAAGGAATGGTGAGAGGGATTCAGGCCACGGGGTCCCGTTGCCATGCTAAGACCACCAGAGGTCTCCTGAGAAAAGGCCTTCTCCCTGCCTTCCTCACACAGAGTTGTCTTCGAGGTGTGGGAGAGTGAGGAGCGGAAGAGTCTTGGGCAGGCAGAGGAGGCAGGACGGCACCAGAGGCTGGCCTCCTTCCACCTGGAGCCTCTGATCGCGACTTCCCCTCTCACCTGCCGGCTTGTGGGCAGGTGCTGGTGCTCCCTCTGCACTTCCTGACGGGTTGTGGGGAAGAGTCCGTGTGCACCCAGGGCTGGCCTGGCAGAGCCTGCAGTCCATCACAGGCGGGCAGGTGGGCTGCAGGACTGAGGCTTAAAATGGCGGACTAGAGACAGGGAAGAAGCCTCAGAGATCTAAGGACACTCCCAGTGGGAGGACTCGGAGACAACTAAATCCAGTGGGGGCTACCAAGATTTTCTGAAAAGAAAATAGATTTTTTTTTTTTTGAGCGATTCTAACATCTCTGGAGTACTGGGGTGGACTTAGCCAAGGGAGAGAAACTCACGGGAAAGTCCCGTGGACAGAGAAGACGTAACCGAGACAGAATGAGCGATGGTGAGCGTTGGTTACTAACAAGGGGACCGGGGGAAGATGGCTTATGGGTCACTCCTGCCTAAAGCAGAGCTCCCCCATCTGCATGGAGACGGTTTTGTCTCCAGTTGCAAACCACACTGGCCAGACGCGTGTCCGTTCCGCAGGTCTCACTTGGTGTCTGTCCCTCCCAGGGAATGCTAAATGGCGTCTGGCCCCACGTCCCAGGCAGGTCTGCTGCTGCTGTTCTGAGTCTCTGCTCTGCCCCTTTCAGTTCTGCAGGCTGAGACCAAGGGCGTGTCTGCCCTTTTCTGTAGTAGATGGCACATTGATGACACCCAGGCAAGTACAAGCTGTTCAACCTCCCCTTGGTAACATCACTGGGCTTCCCTTGTCACTTTACCATACTCTGGTATATTTCCAACTCTCTTAGCCACTAAGTAGCACTGTCCTCCATCACAGGAAGTCACCTGCAAGCCCAGCCAGAGACAAGTGTGGGCAGGTTCTGGATTCAGTAGGATTCTGTGCTGCTGTCAAGTCCAAGGATTCACAGTAGGTTTGTCTTGGGAAGTCCCCTTGGTGAGCACCCCACAACCCGCTGCAGGAGTTGTGTCTGCTGGGCATCATGACAGGCAGCAAGGACACCCTGCAGGGACCCTATATTGGCATCGTGGCAGAGGGCAAATGGCACTGAAGCAAAGAGAAGCAGAGGGCAAGAGCACACTCGGTGATTTAGTGCATCCAAGACAGTTTTTCAAAAGCATTGACACGTGTGACGAGGCTTGATTTAATCAGATGAGAGGAGGGAGAGAGAGGAAGAAAGTGTTTTAGAAAAAACGCAGCCGGGCCCAGGTGGGCAAAGGCCCGCCGTCTCTCAGGCCCACCTCATCTCCTTACTCCCCGACCTCTTGGTTCCATTCACAAGCACCCGTGACCACCTCAGGCACTGTCTGCATCCTGGGGGTCGGCCCCCACCCCTGCCCCACCGGGTGTGCCGGGCTACTGCTTCCTGGCTCCGTGCACTTGCTGCCAACCCAGCTCTGAGGTGCCTAAGGAGAAGAGGCGCATGCAGCAGGTGAGGAGGCAGGAGCAGGAGACAGAGGCAGAGGGTCCACACCAGGCCGGGGCCTGCTTAAGGCTGGCGTGGTGCGTGGAGAGCGGAGGGTGGGTCTGGGATGGTGGCAGTGGAGGGACCCCGGAACTGGTTTTACCAGGCCCCTTTGATGAGTTCAGGTGGCCGTCTTGTTTTTGCTCTTTTTTCCTGTCCTAACAGCAGAAGATTCAGATCTGAGTTTCTGGAAGCGACGTCGATGAGAGTGGAGCACGTCTCCTGGTGTGTCTTTACTACTCGCCAGCTGGGCACTGAGAAGGCGGGAGACTTGGGTTTTCCTATCACATGATCCACTGCCTTTGGGGGCCCACCCCAGCTGGGTGCCTTCAGGAGGACTGTCCGGCCGTCAGCCTTCAGAGAACCTGCACTCTGTGCAAGATCAGAATTCATCTCTGAGAAGCACTAAATCTACGAGGCTGTTCCAAACCTTTCTCGTCTATGTTCTCTTCACAAATAGCTGAGTAGGTTGTTCCCGAACCTGCATGACAGAGGCAGCATGTTGGGTCAGTTCAGGAACTTGACTCCTCTGTCCAAGGAGAAGCTGGCTGGACCTAATCAATCCGGGTCCTTCTTGCTTTCTTCAGCGTCTGTACTTTGTTGTTCTATCTATGGCTTTCTTTCTTTCTTTCTTTCTTTCTTTTTTAAGCTGCTAATAAAAGTTTGGTAACTGTTTCACAGGAACTATTTTCATTTGTGAGCATGGTTTTAAGAGTAAAATATGGGACCCCTGCAGTCCTGCTATAATTTTTATTATATTGCAAATGATACAAGAGGCCAACTAAAGTTTTTTTTTTCTAGTGGTAATATTAAAATGATTTTTCTTCATAGACAAATTCTAAAGGAGGAATATTTATGTTCTAAGATGGTTTTGAATTCTGGGGCAGTCACATTGCTGAAACAAGCTAAAAAAAAAAAATCCCCCCAGGCAGGAAGCCAACTCTGGAAGCGGAACCTGCTGAGTTTCCATCAAACCCATTGACAGGGCGCCCAGGTGGACACCACATGGGATGAAACGTGACTCTGAGCACCATGTTGACAGCTCCATGTCCACGACCTATTCCTCCTGAATTTGATCTGTGCATCTGGTACCTACCGAAGCCTGCGTTTGTACTGCAGGAGCTTGGATTTCTGTCAGAAGGGTCAGGAGAATGTCCCGCTGGAGAGAGATGGCCAGTGGCAGGAGTATGTGGACAAGGGCCTGTGGCCCTGGTTGACCAGGGGCCTTGCTGGAGTATTCGAGGTGGTTTGGGATCCCCACCTCAGAGAACAGGATCAGTGAGGACTAGACTTCCTGGAGCACCAGGGGGGCTCCACTCCCTTAGCTGGAAAAGCCCAGGAAAGTTCTGCCGCTGGAGATGCGGCTAGGTCAGGAGAGAAGACCGCACAGTGGGCCTCTGGGTCCAAGCGAGGACAAAGCAGCAATGAGTCATCTGGCAACAGAGACCCAGAAGCAGAGCGCAGAGCCCCGGTGCCCGGTGTGCAGGAAGCTCTACTCGAGGGCTCGGGGTCACTGACATTTTGAGGTTACAGCCTCAGCCTGTTTCAACCTGTTTTCACCAGACGCGCCATCTTAATGACTCCTGAGGCCTGACTGTCCCTGTTGTTGCTTCTGTGAGTGGCGGGGGGCCTTGGGGAGAGCCACCCGTGCCTTAGGCTTGCTGGTGGAAGGCAGGTGTCGTTCAGGGCGGGGAGCAGGACTTGGTCCTGAAGCGTGAGGCAGAGCACGAGTTCTCAGAGGTCCTTGGACTCCACTGACCAGGGCGCGTCCTCAGGAACGGCTGGTTGGCCTCTTTCTTCTGCTTTGGTTTCCTTCCTCAGGCCGAGTCCTCTCCCTATCCTGCTGTCCTCCAGTGGCACGGGGGTCCGCCCTCATGGGGGCGTGTCCCGTGTCTCTTCCTTCCTTTCCTTCTGTGGTGAGCTCTCCCGGGTTATAGGTCCGGTTTTCCCCGCTGTTTTGCAGATGTCCCTCCATTGGTGACTCATCAACTCTCATGCCTTAGTGTCTCCCCTAAGACATGTTGGACACAGGTGCCTCGCGATGTCCCGAGAGGCAGGCCAGCCATACACAGGCGACGCTCGGAACGCTCCTGCCCCACAGCTCGCACATCAGGGCCCACTTCTTCTCGTACTGGACAGGAGATGAGCCGTTGAAAATCAGCGCTGCAGCTCTGGGGGTCCACAGGTCTGGCGTGGCTCTTCTGCAGTGTCATGGATTTGGTGGTTTTACTGTCTTTGGACAGACAGGCTCGAGAGCAGGAGTGACCTCAGCTATTAATGCTGTTCATTCGCCATCTACTATCTGTAGTGTAGGACCATGCACATGCTCAGGACTCTCTAGAGAAAACTGACATCTATGTATCCAGTGGCTGTGGCTGGACACCAAGTGGGATGACGTGCCATCTCGGGGTTTCTGGAGCGTGAGCGCCTCCTGTTGGAAGTGCACTGTGACTTGCCCCATGGCACCTTGTGGAGTGTGGGCCTCACTCACATCTGAGGGCTGAGCCCGCCCTGGGTACCACCCACCCAGCCCTGGGTGTGGAGGGCACTCACTGACCCTGGGCCAGGCTCCCACCCCAGCCTGACCCGGGGGGTGCTGGTGAGGTCTGATGGTCCCTGCACTGCCACTAGGGAGCGCTGCACGGACACAGCTAAGACCTGCCATGGGGCTCTGTGAAGGTGGGGAGTCCCAGGCTGGAGTTGGAAGCTCTCTGAGGAGGCGAGAGAACTGCTGAAGAGCGAGGGGCCTAGGTAGATAAATTCTTTGAGAGAAACCACGGGGATGGTAGCTGTCATTCCTGAGTTGCGCTGAGTGTGGCGGTCTGGTTACTGAGTGTGGCGGTCTGATTCAGGAGCATTATCTCATTTAACTTCCCAGTTACCCTAAGAAGGGCCTGTTGCCTGGATAAACGTGAGCTGGAGGCCTAGGGTCCCGCAAGCTTCAGGTGGAGCCGCTGGGTTTTAATCCAAGGCTGTGTGGGTCCAGAGGCTCTCCTACCTGAATCTTCAGTCTTCCCCTTCCTGTTGTAGAGAGAAAGGACTGAGGTCATCTCCAAAAGAGGACAAAAATACCAGCAGTGGGGCTGCTGACTGACAGGTTCCCCAGGTCTCCTCGTCCTGGTGATTTGAGCAAAGGTCTCCTTTGTAAGCTCTTCTCCAGAAACTGTGGTGCAGAATGTGGCACGGTCTCTGTGAAATTCCCTCCACCCAGAGAAAAGGTCTTTCCCAAGGAAAGAAGTTAAACCAAGGACCGAGTCCATCTGCCTCTTGCTTGATCTTCCCATCAGACGGCCTGGCAGCACCCAAGGCACACGTGTAGGAAGCTCAGCTCAGGCTTGGGACGAACCCGTGGTGACATCACGCCTACCTGAGGGCCAGTGCTTGGTGACAGAGGAAGGACCCTCCCTGGGGCTTGCTGGAGCTGGATGACCGATGGCCTGCACTGGGTGGGAGGAGAAGGAGGTGATCCTGGGGTGAGTATTAGAGATGGAGGGAAAGTCAGTGGGATGAGGGAGGCCAATGGTGCTGGCCAGGTGCAGCCTCCGCAGCCTCTGTAAACAGACAGGGCATCCTCTTAGGGAGGCCCTGCCTGTGGAACCAAGTGGACAGAAGTGCCCACCCTGTGATGACGGGAAGCTGTTGAAGGATGTGGACGTGACAGGGTTGGATTTGCTTTTCAGGGGAATGGACTGTGACTCTGAGAGATCAACGGTTCCTGCTACTGCTTAGCCAGAGGCGCGATGGGGAGGTGCGTGAGCCCGGGGGAGGGGAGGGCGGCACGGCACAGCGTCAGCTCTACTCCATCGTCCCTCCACCTAGACCAAGGTGACTCGGTCAAAACCCAATGCAGGTCCTCATGTATGTTCTGTGGCACCCTGCACTTCGACTTCACTGGGTTTATAACAATCCTGAACTCTAACCCATTCTGTGGAGATTTGTGTGGTCTCTGTCCTGCCGAGGACCTAGGCAGGGGCTTCGCTGCTTTCTACACATGGGACACCCGTGCTCTGGATCAGGGAGGTGGAAACAGCTGGGCAGGAGGGGCACAGCATGCGAGGCCCAAGGGACGGGGCTCTGACAAGAGGCTGAGGAAGCGCAGAGCTGTCACTACCTGGAGGAGGCAGGGGACCCTGCGGCTCCTGGGACAGACAGGTGTGACAGGTGCAGTCTGAGGTGCTGGAGCCCACGTGGGTGCCTGCGCTGCCAGGCCTGGCAGGAGGGGAGCTGAGAGCTGGGGAGAGGTGGGGGAGACCCTGCGCTAGTGCTGTGGGTGGGTGGTGCCGCTGAGGGATGGGGCAAGTGGAGGCCCGGGCTGGGGGAGCAGAGGGGAGGAGAGGCCGGGGGCCCCCGGAGCAGAACCGCAGGGATCTTCAGGGCTTCAAAGGCAAGGTGGGAGGGTCCTCCAGGGGAACTGAGAAGGTGCCCGCCGAGAGTCCAGAAGAAAGTGACACTTCCAAGACAGAAGAAAGCAAGGGAGTCAAACCACCAAGAGTCTGAAGCCGAAGTCTTCAGAGATCTGGCAGCTCAGACCTTGCCGTTGTAACTCTGCAAAAGCCAGATGATGCCCGGTCAGGGAGGAGAGGGGAGAGGCTACCTGGGTGGACATGGCTTTGCCCTGAGCACTCCCTGTGAAGTCGCAGGGACTGTGAGCCCCGTGGGTGGAGGCAGAGCACCCACGGAGGGCTCACAGCTGACCGCATCACATGGCCTTGCTGAAGGGAGGTGGGGACGCTCGTCCTCAGCCTTGCAGGAGAGTTTGGAGCTCGGAGGTTCACAAAGAGGACTTGGGAACCTTCTCAGGAGAGCCCTGAGGTGGCCCTGTGATCATGAAGGAGGCCCTATGATCGTGAAGATATAAGTAGGCCCAGTGTCTTCAGGCGCTAGGGGTGCACTCTCAGGGGCCACCCCGCACATCTCCTGAGGGAGAACGTGGAAGAGGACTCCAGTTGTCACAAGGAATTTAATTTAGGAGTCCAGACTTCCCGATGCCGTGCTGAGTGTTCAGTGGTTAACAACCCTCTGAGCCTGGGAAATGCAGCTTAGCAGCTGTGCACCAAGACCTTGAAGAGTGAACTTGGGTGATCCTCATGAATCCTGTCTGGGAGTGAGCTGGCCCCTGGCCTGCACCGTCCTGCAGCTGGCCGTGGGCTGTCGGTAGCTCCAGTGACCAAGGGCACACAGGGGCTGTCTGTGAGCCCCAGAGCCTTTCTGCACCTCACATGGGGGCTCAGAGCTTCCTGGGGGGCTGTGAGACAGGCCTGAGAGCTGGAGCAATCCACCTGGCGCCGGCTGAGGCCAGGATCCGGAATGTGAGGCGATCTGGACCAAAGCAGGAGCCCAAGTGGAAATCTCAGCACAGTGTGTCCTTGCAAAGTCCGGAGGCCTGACACCGGCTTCTTTTCCTCTCCCGTGGGTGACCGGTTCACTGTTGGTCATTGTGCTGCCTGGGGAGCCCCTGCCCAGTCCTACTTCCAATGACATTTTTTGATAGGAAAAGAATAAAGTGAGGGATTCCAGCTTGATTCAGACGCTCTTTATCCTCTTCAAACCCATCCTTGCTTAAGACATTTCCTTCATCTTCAAAAGCAGAGATTTTTACAAAATGCCT